CCTCATCCAAAAATAACAAAGATTGGAGCTTGGAACAGAAGCAAAGGACAAGAGTTAGCCATGCCTAGATTTGACTAAGAAAATGAAACAATAAAGAGATCTTCAGAGAAAAAAGTTTTCCACTATAATGAATGTATGAACCACAAATACACACACATTCTTGCAGATGAATAAAACCATGAAGACAAAAACAAAATGCCTCCAGAAACTTCTAACCCCCCAAATCTGATCTTTATGGAAATAATGTGAAGGAAATAAAATTTCAAACAGCTAAATTAAATGAAATGGCAAAATATGTACACACAAAAAAGAATTTAGTAAGGTGCTCAGTGAGCTTCAAAGTAATGTAGCTAAATAAATAATAGAAAACCAAATGATTAGTGACAATGATAAAATGTTAGGTAAGCTAAAAAATCTATACAAAATGTGAATGACCAGTTTTTTTTAAAATTTATTTGGTACAAGGTCTTATACACAGCTCAGACTTGTAGTGATCCTCCTGTTTTTCATCCTCCCCAGTGCTGGGAATACAGTCCTGTGCCACCACGCCTCGTCTCGGTTCCTGGCTCAGTGTACCTGGGGCTGGGACCAGCATGGCCTGTGGTGCCCTGGATCAAACCTTGATTACTGTGCTTGCCTGAGTAGGTGCTTAGTTAGCTGAGTTATCTCCCAGCCCTGAATGACCAGTTTTGTAAAGAATTAAACTCCATTAAAAAGTACCAAATAAAAATTTGAGAGATTAAAATTGTACTTTAAGTATGGGCAGCAGACATGACCAATGTAAGGGTAGAATATGAGAACTAGAAAATAGGGCCAATAATTGGTAAAATTATCCTTTATTTCTATGTAATCTTGCTTTTGAGTTGAACTGAATTCCATGCTCCCTCCTGGTATTGTTGACTAGCATATTTGTGACTGTCTGGATACCTGGAAAAAGAAATCCACAGAACAAAGCTCTGTCCATGTGTGAAGGCACTTGTGGTGAATGGGAGCAGAAAGATGGGGGAGGGGAGAAAGCATGGTGTAGCCATGGCTTCCTGGGGAGATGGACATCGAATATCAGGACAGAAGCTGAAAGAAAGTTCTAATATTCACATCTCATTTCCCAAATAATTATATCAATAATGTTACAAAATAATGATTTCGGACTAGACACATTAATTCCTTTCCAGGGTTCCTCAACTATAACAGCTATTGAACAGGCACCGATTGGTCAGCGTGGTATTTATGCCTTGTGCTCTTCCTCCACATTCTCCTTCCTTACCCCCCACTAGCAGCCTTGATACTAGTATTGGGTGATTGTTGGTCTTATCATGAGATTCAGCTTAGGATACAACAATAAAGTTTTGCTTTTCTTCCAGTGTTGTAAAAGTTCAAATGCATTCCATACATTTTACCTTTATTTCTTCTTTTTGGATTCAAAATGTGCTGCATATTATCACAAATGGGAATTGATTTATCTGCAAAATCAGGCAAAAGTAGAGTCAATCTAATAGACACTACAGGTGGGATTTCCAGGAAGCACATTCTCAGGTGCTAATTTTATTGTTAAATGATGTATACTTTTATTGTTAAATGATGTTAAATGATTGAAACTTATACATTCAGAAAATATGTTAAGAAAGAGTTGATAACTTCTGACATGGCCAGTCTTACCAAAAACCCACTCTTATTATGGACTACTGGATTATGTTAGAATATTTTGCTGAACTCATGCACCTACAATATTTAAATGACAATGGAATGCCCTTCTTTGACAAAACTAAACAAAAAAGGGGATACATATGAACAACCATTTTTATCTGTATATTCAAAATAGTTAGGGGCTGGGGAGATGGCTCAGTAGAATAAGTGCTTGCCTGGCAAGCACAAGGGTCTGAGTTCAATCCCCGGTTCCGCAAAAAAAAAAAAAAAAATAGTTAGGATAGATATACAGCTGCATTCTCTTAATTCAATGAATAGAGAGATTTGTTCTAATACTATTTGTGGACAGGATATCATGTCTGCATCTTGTACAATGAATAACCACTAAGACAACAATATACAATGTATTAATTATTGAAACTGTGAAAGTATTTGGTTTTGAAACTGTCTCACTGCTATTTGTTTCTCAATAAAATTATTTTTAAAAAGAGTTGATATATTGTGAAATAAGCAGATCAGCATAAAATTTTTGAAATCTATATTTACAAATGTTTCTAAATGAACATATATGGAATATCATTTCCAAACATGAAATGAAGATTAAGTCTGATTAACTGTCCTGTGTTAGAGACAACTGCCTACCATTCCTTTTGGTAATTGAAAAAAATGAGCTAATGCTCAAGACATGAAGGAAACAGAAGATGAACCCAGATGTGGGATTTTGCAATGCGGGTGGGACTTCCAGTCCAGGGCCTGGTCAGAGAGTGGGTGCAGCTAAAGATGTTTGTGGGGACGCCTGCACAATGATGAACTCCTGGGCCCCACTGCCTGCATCCACACTTTTGGTGGTCTGAAGGAGATTCTGCCCAATGCTGGTGCATCAGACGTGTTTCTCTGGTGAGAAGACAGGAAGGAAAAGATTGTGCCATCCTGGAGCTCAGCATTGTCCCAGAAGACACCTGCTATACTGCTGTTCAGGTCTTTATTGGTGTGCCTTGACTATCCCTGGACTAGGTGGATTGCCCTCTGACTCCCAGCCAGTGTCCCTGTTCAGTAAAGGGAGACCAGTGGATCGGTGGCAAGGTGAGAACTGAGCTTTGTGGCAGTGTGTGCAAACGGGAGGGGCAGGTGAGCTTGTGGGCATGAAGCTGCCCTGTTGAGTCCTGGAGCAGGGTGGAAGTCAGGTGAGGTGAGACCTAGAAGGCTTGGCAAGGTTGGTGCCAGGATCTGGCTCCTAGGGTTCTTTGCAGTGGGTCCATGGACATATCATTCCCTTTGGTGGTGCTCCACAGCTCACCACCAGGGTGTTTGTTTCCAGGCTGAAAATAAACACTGTGCAATGCTGAGCTCCAGGATGGCACAATCATTTCCTTCCTGCCTTCTCACCAGAGAAACACGTCTGATGCACCAGCATTGAGTGGAATCTCCTTCAGTCCACCAAAAGTGTGGATGCAGGCAGTGGGGCCCAGGAGTTCATCACTGTGCAGGCGTCCCCACAAACATCTTTAGCTGCTCCCACTCTCTGACCAGGCCCTGGACTGGAAGTCCCACCCGCATTGCAAAATCCCATGTCTGGGTTTGTTTTCTGTTTCCTTTATGTCTTGAGAGTTAGCTCATTTTTTTCAATTACCGAAAGGAATGGTAGGCAGTTGTCTCTAACACAGGACAGTTAATCAGACTTAAACTTTCATTTCATGTTTGGAAATGACATTTCATATACGTTCATTTAGAAACATTTGTAAATATAGATTTCAAAAATTTTATGCTGATCTGCTTATTTCACAATATATCAACTCTTTTTAAAAATAATTTTATTGAGAAACAAATAGCAATGAGACAGTTTCAAAACCAGTTACTTGCACAGTTTTGTTTGGTCCCTGCAAGATAGTGCACCAGACCAAAGATGCTCAGCAGACCTCTAGCCCAGCAGCCAGCCGCCAGGGCACTCTTGCCATCCACAGCCTGTGTGCCCCTATGCCCAGCAGGTCAAGAGAACCCGATTTTGGCCAGACGCAGGACTCCAGCCAGGACAGCTCAGCTCCCTGGAGCCAGCCGGCAGGGTGCACACGTTGGACCACCCCTGCCACAGGACAGAGATGGCGGAGGCTATGTTGGAACACGTGCAAGCTGCTGGGGTGCCTACTGACCACCCGTGAACTCCATAGACTTCACAGATACTTAAGGAATCTCTCTGACCTGCGCACGACAGCTGAACTCCTTGGCCATGCTGGTGTCAGAAACACTGTCAAGAGCTTGCGGAAACATGAGCAGGTCGGCACCTTGGCCAGGACCTTGGTGGCCCAGCGAGCCCAGACTGCAGCCCTGAGCTCAGGCAGTCCTGTTTTTCTGTCTGAGCTCCCGACACCTACCATGAAGTCTCCCAACCACCACAAGAGCACAGGCAGCAGGAAGGAGTCCCACATTGATGCCACCTGCTTGCCCGCCTTGGGAATCGCCTTTCCTCCACAGCCACCTTCTCGACTCCTGCCCTGTCTCTCAGGCTTCTGCGCCACTGTGTGCGCACTACTAAGGCTTCCCGCCAGACCTGGGCACCACCTCCATGGGCCACGTGCCCACCAAACGCGACGTGAAGGCCCCGCAAGGCAAACCTGGGCTGGCTGAAAAAGACCCTCTGTGGGGACCTTGGGAAGAAGAGCAGCAAGCTAGCTGGAGCCCACACAGACCTCAGTGTGGGCTCCACAAGACGCCCATCCATTCTGTGTGCTCCGCTGCTTTTCTCCAGCACAAGATGGCCTTCTGTGAGCGTTTCCGTCGGGTGCTCTCCAACAAACTGGGTGCAATCTATGACTTGAGCTTTATCCCTGATTGTGTCCATCAATCCGTCTTGGAGAAGTGCTCGCCTCATCAGCTCCGTTGCATAGAGAAGTGCTTCCGGGGCTAGTTGAAAAGACAGGTCATTTATGGAAGCTTCACTATCACAGGAACTTTAAGGTCCAAGGAGCAAGAGTCCTGGTGGGAGATGGACCTGCGGCTGCAGGATACTAGAGCACAGCGACTCCAAGATGTGACCAACAGGATCCTATTGGCAAGGGCCAGGGAGCCCGAAGCTGGACAAACCAATCTGCTCCCTTTCGGCACTGTGTACCCCATCAGGAGAAGTTGAATCCTGGATTGGGAAGGCCTGCACAATGAGGGGCAGGACACGGAGGAGGGGATAGGATGTGAAGGGGGTGCGGGTGGGGAGGAGAAGGAGGAGTGGAAAGAGGAATGGGATGAAGAGCAATGGGAAGACAGGGAGAGGAAGGGGTAGGAGGAGCAGCACCTGCAGCAGTCCCTTAGCAGCAGCTGTGGTAGCAACAGTCCCAAAGGCAGGCACAGTCATGCAGAAACCCATCATGCAAGAGGAGGAGGACAATGAGGAGTTGGTGGGGGAAGAGAAGTGGGATTGGGCAGAGGAAGAGAAGGAGAACGGTTTGAAAGGATGAGAATGCATGGAGAGAAAAGAGAACATTTATCATGCATAGGTACAAATTCTCAGTGATGTAATTTGATTATTATATACATTCAGTGTATACCAAGAAACTTACTTTTGTTTTTCCGAACATAAATAACAGTACAAAAATCTATAAGAGAGATGGAAATGTACCAACGTTAAATGTTTAGGTGATCAGGCAATGGAACAAATAAAGAAGAAGGAAAGGGGGATGAAAATGGGACAGTGACTGGAATTTTGTACATGCACCAACATCACTCAAGCAATGTAGTCATGATGATTTACTGCAAACATTGTATAATGAAAAAAATTAAAATTAAACAGACATCAGTCATTCTTGCTTCCTTAAGGATATGGCTTTTGAATTTCTGTCATGTGTTGACTGTATTATCAATTTCTACCATTTATATGAAGCCTTTGTGCTGGTGTCTAAAGTACTTAGTGCAACCTAAGTACATTTCTGCATCACTCCATTATGACTGGGCTCAATTCTCTCCACCTTTTGTAGCAAAATTCTTCACAGAAAGTGTTTGTCTTGTGTTTCCTGATATGCTATGCTCTCATGTTATCTTGAGGCCAGTGCAGAGAAGATTCAGTCTACTTATCAGTTAAGTTAACAGTTGCCTTGTACAGGTCAAGACTCTCCTCCTAACTTTATTTACTGACTTCTGCTGCTGAGTAGTGTGGCAAAGCTGAAAACCCACCTCCTAAGCAATCCTTGAATTCACTTGATTTGTTCTTTGGAGGCTTTCATGCAGTTGCCAAGTGTTCTAAATCCACTTTCTCAGTGTAGGCAGTACTAACCTCTTGAAGTCACTTATGTTTTTCAAGTATAGAATCCCTTCTGCCCTGAGCAACCAATATCCTCCTGACATTAATTCATTAATACCTTCTTAGCACAAGTTCTATCTTGCTCTTGTAGAAAAATTCATAGTTTTCATAGTCCTCTTCTCATATATATTGTATTACTGGTTCCTGTTTAGTTACTTGGAAATTTCAATGATAATTTTACATATTAAGAGTTTTAGTTTTTGTATTGCATAAACATATAGCCGATATTGTAAACACATTATTTTCTTTCTTTTTAAAATAATTTCATTGAGAAACAATAGCAATGAGACAGTTTCAAAATTAATTAGTGGGACAGTTTCAATAATTAACACATTGCATATTGTTGTCTTAGTGGTTATTCATTGTACAAGATGCAGACATGATATCCTGTCCACAAACATTATTAAAACAAATCTTTCTATTCACTGAATTAAGAGAATGTAGATGTATATCTGTCCTAACTATTTTGAATATGCAGATACAAAATGGTTGCTCATTTGTATCCCTTTTTTTCCTTTAGTTTTGTCAGAGAAGGGTATTCCATTTTCATTTAATTATTGTAGGTACATGAATTCAGCAAAATATTCCAATATAGTCCAGTAGTCCATAATAGTAGTGGGTTTTCCGTAGGACTGGCAATGTCAGAAGCTGTTCACTTGAGCTTTTTACAGCTCAGCATATTAATATGGCTTTACTTTTCATACCTCTTTATTATGCTTTTCTGCTGGATGGTTAAGACCAAGATAAAGCAAGACCTATATAACAAGAAATGTAACTTTTGTAACTGGTCAGTCAAATCCTCTCAGGATTTATCCTGAAACCCGGTACTACAGTTTGTAGATCGTTTGTCAGTGTCAGCCATGTGGATGAATCCCATCCATTGGTTGACTAATTTGGTCTCTGTGAAAGCCTGAGAGAAAGTTTTCTCTCCATGTGATTCTCCTTAGGCACACTCTACATCACCGATCATATTGCTCTATGACTCCATAATCTTGATCAGAAAATTTGGGACACAACTGAGTTACATGAAGCTACAGTATAGGTTCTCCTTTGTCCTGAGTCTTCACTGACCTTGAAAATCTACGGCCAAAATGTTGCCTGACCCTCCCACCTCCCCCATCTAGAAAAGGAAGAGCAAACCAAACCCAGAGCCCAAAGACAGGAAGAAATCATAAAGAGTAAAGCAGAAATTAATTCAATTGAGACAAAGAAAACAGTTCAAAGAATTAATGAATCAAAAAGCTCATTCTTTGAAAGACTAAATAAAATTGATAGGCCCCTAGCTAACCTTGACAAAAAGAGGAAAGAAAAAATTCAACTACAAGCAATAAGGAATGAAAAGGGTGTAATCACCACAGACCCAGGGGAAATTCAGAAGATTATCAATAGCTACTTTGAGAATCTTTATGCTCACAGAATAGAAGCCACAGATGAAATGGACAGATTCTTAGAAAGGTACAAATTACCAAAACTGAATCAAGAATTTATAACAACTCTCAATAACCCAATAACAGCCATTGAAATATGAAATGTAGCAAAGAGCCTGCCAGCAAAGACAAGTCCAGGTCTGGATGGATTTACAGCTGAATTCTACAAAAATTCACAGAAGATATAATTCCTACACTCCTCAAACTTTTCAATGAGAAAAGGAAATGGTTCTCCCAAAATCATTCCTGGAGGTATTATACTGATATCAAAACCAGGGAAAGACACAACTAAAAAGAGAACTACAGGCCAATCTCCCTCATGAACATAGATGCTAAAATCCTCAATAAAATCCTAGCAAATAGAATACAGCAAATCATCAAGAAGATCATACATAATGACCAGGTAGGATTCATCCCAGGGATGCAAGGATGGTTCAACACTCGAAAATCTATAAATGTAATACACTATGTCAATAGAGCGAAATTTAAAAACCACATGATCATCTCCATTGATGCAGAAAAGGCTTTTGACCAAGTCCAACACTCATTCATGTTCAAAGTCCTACAGAAAATTGGAATAGAAGGCCTCTACTTCAATTTGATACAGCCATCTATAACAACCCAATGGCTAATATAATTCTAAATGGGGAAAAATTGTCTTCATGTTTCTATTCATGTGCATGCATGCGTGTGTGTGTGTGTGTGTGTGTGTGTGTGTGTGTATTTGTAGTTCATGCATTGATTATAGTGGAAAAATTTTTTTCTATGAAGATCTCTTTAGTTAGTGTTTCATTTTCTTAGTCAATTTTAGGCATGGCTAACTTTGTCCTTTGCTTCTGTCCCAAGCTCCAACCTTTGTTATTTTGGATAGGGAGTTTTAAGCACAATTGAACCAGTACCAGGGTTTCAGGCTAAATCCTAAGGGGATTTGGCTGACTTTGTCAGATACAAAAGTTATATTTCTTGTCATATAGGTCTTGCTTTATCTTGGTCTTAACCATCCAACAGAAAGGTATAACAATGAGGTACGAAAAGTAAAGCCATATTAATATGCTGAGCTGTAAAAGGCTCGTCAGTATCTTTTGACATTGCCACTCTTATGGATAATCCACTACTATTATAGACTTCTGGACTATATTGGAATATTTTGCTGAATTCATGCACCTACAATATTTAAATGGTAATTGAATACCCATTTTGGACAAAACTAAACAAAAAGAAAGAGGATATAAGTGGATGACCATTTTGTATTTGCATATACAAAATAGTTAGGATAGATATACAGCTACTTTCTTTTAATTCAATGTGAAGAAACCTTTGTAGTAATAGTGTTTGGACAGAATATCATGTCTGCATCTTGTACTATGAAAAACCTCTACAAAGACAATATGCAATGCATTAATTATTGAAACTGTCCTATTAATCAGTTTTGAAACACTCTCATTAATATTTGTTTCTCAATAAAATTAATTAAAAAATAATAAATAAATAAAGGTAAAAAAAATTCACCCAGTACCTAGTTCTTTGGGAGTTAATCAGTGTTATTGACAACACAAAGATAAACCATATATTGTTGTTCAGCAAAAGCCAGTTAATAACAACAATTCTGCCACCTTAACAATAGCAACAAAATCAGCAACAGTAATACTTATTTCAGACTGGATTACTGACATACTACAAAAAGAAATAAAAACTAGAGGCTACCATTTTAGTACCTAAACCATAGAAAGAGATCTATAATTATTA